TAAAAAATATACTGCATGTAATACAATAACTAATTCTTATTAATTGATAAAAGTTTGATGGCTTGATTTTGGATCGATCGCACCAAAGACAAATGAAAATTATTAAAAAATAACAAATTCTCTTAAAAAAAAAAACTTTAAATAAATAGTGTGACAAATAATTTATTTAAACAGATCATGTCAAACTGAAAACCACAAATCTTTAAAAAAAAATTACAAGAAACTAAAATGATCATTAAATTAAAAACAAAACAAAAAAAAAACTTTAACAAAAAAGTATAAAATCAATCACTTTAATAAAAATCATTATGAAAATCTAAAATTCGCAATTGTTTTATTTTCAACAATTACAGCAAAAGATCACTCTATAAGTCATTATCAATAAAGATCGTTGTGTTTTCTCATTGTAGATCATTTAATTGATCTACATTACATCACTGCAGACATCGTACACAAAAAATCCAATGAATGAGTATAAAAATTTATATTTACATTTAAATATTTTTTTTGTTTTAAAGTATTTAAAAAGAAAAATGCCACTTTAATTGAATTTCATATAAAAAAAAAAAGATTTTTGTCACTTTATGACCCTAAAAGAGAGCATCTTTTTAAATATAAATGATAAGATATTTCTAAAAAACAAAACAACCAACAATAGGGTTGCCAACTTGCTCAAAACGAGAAGTAATTCGGGACACGTAAATAACATAACGGTTTTTGAAATATAACTTCCCTGTTATTAGCATAAACACCTACACCTGTGCATTATACTTCTCTCTCAATCGCTCCCTTTCTTTCTTACTACCGCTGCTTACACTTTTGATCGTTAGTAAATTCCCTATGGTATAAAACTGGTTTAGAAAAGACAACAACAACTATAAAGATCTTACTAAATATGTACAGTATAGTAGTTGAAATAAAAAAATAAATGTTGGGCAATGACGAATTTTAAATACCCTACACAAACAATAACATCGGTATTTTATAATTCAAGTTGATCCCACATGTGCGGACATCCGATCAGTGGTAATTACTCTATACTCCCTATAAGCGGAATAGGCTTTGATTTTTATAGGTTCGCAGACTAAATAATCTGCTTGGAATAAATGCAGATTATTTATGTCTTTAGTCTCGATAATACTTTTACTGTAATATCAACATCAATTTGTCTGTAGTGCTGACTATAGTCTATTTATAATCTCGGCTATATCCTCTAGACAAAGCTGTAAACAGATTATAAATAGACGAGGCTATTAGCAAGCTATAGTAGGGAATATAGACAGATTTCTCTCAGGACTAGAGAAATACTAATCAATACTTTAGAAAGACTATATAGTCATTCTAGTCCCGAGTGAAATCTGTCTATAGCCCCAACTATAGTTTTCTAATATCATCGTTTACTAATAACCTGTCTACAGCTCAGTCTATAGTTTCTACTATATACTTTATGGTCACGTCCATAGTCTGCCTTTATTCTCACCTATACTCAGGACTAGAGTAATACTAATCAATACTTTAGAAAGACAATATAGTCATTCTAGTCCCGAGTGAAATCTGTCTATAGTCCCAACTATAGTTTGCTAATAGCATCGTTTACTAATAACCTGTCTAGAGCTCAGTCTATAGTTTCTACTATATACTTTATGGTCACGTCCATAGTCTGCCTTTATTCTCATAGATAAACTAAATTTACCGCCTTAATTCAAATAGCAGCTACATACACACAAACATTAAATGAGATCAACATTAAATTATTTTCAGTAATCACTTGAAGTCGGAATGACAGTGTGAGAAGACTGAACTTGATTTTAGTTTGAGTAAAACATTTGCCGCATTAACAACGTCTCTTGTCTGGTAAACAAAATAAACGTGAACGTCATTACTTGTCTCTATGAATTATTAAAATAAAAGAAACGAAAAAAAAAAACATTAAAAAATGTTATTGAAGTCTTCAAAATTAACAACCTTAGTGTTGTTGGTGGTTTTATGTGTGATTCAGTGCGAAATTTCAGGTAAGTTTCACAATAACTTTGGAACATTCCCAAAAAAATAACAAACAAAACAGCTGAAATAATATACTTATAATAAAATATATAAAATACATAATTACCCCTGCTTAATAAATGACCCTAATTCTTATCATTTATATTCATATTCTATATTCTAAGAAATGTTTATTTTTCTATTAAAAAAACACAAATTATTGAAAATTTTATTATCTACAGCTTCTTATAAAACTGAAGTAGAAATAACACCAGCACCTCCCGAGGAGCCTACTACCAAAAGATCTTGGTTTAAAAAATGGTTTGGAGGTTCTTCTCAAACCACTGTAGATCCCCTATTAGAAGTTACCACCGCCAAACCAACACAAAATGCTAATGTACCCCAGCCCTCTAGTAACAATCAAAAGCCTCCACCATTAAATATACCCACTGTGTCCGCCGGCAGTAATAAGCCTCCACCATTAGTTATATCTAATGCTCCCCTAGTGCCTTTGGGTCCTCGTCCTGATACGCCCTCTTCCTCGCCTTTTGGTGCCGGTCCTCCTCAGTGGCCTCAGGCTAATAATAATGCTAATAACGCTGCTAGCTCCACCACACATAATACACCTTTCGGTGCCGGACAGCCTAATCCACCACAATGGCCACAACCACATCCTGTAGGTGGTGTTTTGTCTACCACTGTGAAACCTCCTGTGCAGCAATACTTTAATAATATGCCCAATAATCAAAATGGACCTGGTGGTCAACCCAATTTACCCAGACCTGGTGCACAACCTAATATGCCTCCCGGATTTGCTCCTTATCATCCACCCAAGTCTCAGCCCTCCGGTTTGGATTTAAGTTATGGTGGTGGATTTAATGCTCGTCCTCAACAGGGAGGAAAACCCGGCTCTGGTTTAGCTCCCATGACAACACCCGCCCCGACCTCCACTTCCACGTCAACTTCTACAAGTTCTACTACCACAACTACTACCACTACACCCCGCCCTCAACAATTGGATTTCGATTTACGTGGTGGTTTTGATTCGAAAAAGCCTGCTTCTCCTCAACCCAGCAACAAAGACCAGTTTCCTTCTTTGCCAGCTCCACGCAGACCTTCCGTAAAAGAAGATTTTCCCGCCTTGCCTGTACCTAAATCCCCCACTCCCACACCCTCTTCCCCCTTGAATCCTTCATCACCTTCAGCCTGGAATAAGCCATTGCCCACACCAGCTAATGTACCCAGCAGCTCTGTAACTACAACCGTACGCTCACCCACTCCCAAGTCTCCTGTGGCTGGCTCTGGTGGTTCCACTGGTGGTGTATCGTTTGTTCCCCATACCGGCACCACTACCACCGTACGTCCTGGTTTTGAAAATCAAGGCAATAATTTGGCTTCTGATGATGAAATTCGTTCCCTAACTGAAACCCTCTACACTAAGGAAGTCAACAGCCAATTGAACTTGGTTACTGTTAACGCTCAAGGCAAGACAAGATCCATTGATAGCACCGATGAGGCACCACAACCGTAAGTTGGATTTAATTAAGAAGGTCGGAATTCAGTATACAATTTTCATTTTTCTTTCCAAAGACTTTTAGATGTTGACCCTAAAGCTTTAGATTCACCCACTATTGCCAAAATGCGTTTATTATTCAATAACTATGAAGAGGATACTTTGGTGAATGAGCATGTTACCCCCATAGAACGTAAAGAGGAAAATGATTTTGTTGATGCTGTCATGGCCACCAATGTCATGAGACAAGCCATGTTGTTCCTGCAGCAAAAGGGTAAGAATGTAGAATGTTTACTAAAATACATTTTTAACCACTGTTTATTTTTTTAAAGGTATTGTTTCTCCCGATCCCAAGACCCACCGTGATTTGGTTAAAGAATTATGGTTTACTCAATATTCCCGTGGTAGCGGTAAAATTGGTAGCTCCGGTTTTGAACATGTTTTTGTTAATGAAGTCAAGAACGGCACTATTATTGGTCTACACAACTGGGTGTATTTCCATGATGAGGAAAAGGCGGGTCACTTAGATTACAAGGGTTATCTTAACCAATTGGATTTGGGAACGGTAAGCAATCGAATATTTTTATTTTAATATGTTATGACTTATGAGCTGTTTACTCTTTGCAGAAAGGCAAAGTCATGAAGGTACGCTTTACCCATAATGGTTTAAATAAACCAGTCAATACTTTGTTTATTGGCACCTCACCCGAATTGGAATTGGCTTTGTATACGGTGTGCTTTAAGTTGAGACCTGATCGCACTTGCCCCGTTTCTTTGGGTAATAATAAATTTGGTGTTGTAACCTATTCGTGGCGTTATCGTGGCAAGAGTTTAATAGGCAGTGCCTATCCCGAAATTTAAGTTGTTGTAAAACGAAATGTTTTTTTGTATAAAGTGACATTTTTATATTAAAAGAAAAAGTTTAATAAAAATTAAATTAAATTAGTTTAGATTTAACTAAGAGAAATACAACCTTGTTTTGAAAATAAACTATAAGGTGTAAAACTTGGCTATAGGCAAACATTTTTGGTCTGGCAACATTGAACTAGTTACTATACTGCTGTATTAAGCAGGGACATCAACTACAAGAAGAAGTGTGTTAAAGTGGGGAGGTTAAAGTTAGGGAATTTTATTTTTGTTTATTATAAGATGTCAAGGTGTAACTATACAAGGTGAAATCTGTGGCGAATTGTATTATGATAGATAACAAAACTCACCACAAATTTGGTAAATTTGGGAAACGTTTTATTTACCTCACACGATAATATGTCAAAATTATTGGAAATCATAGCATTTTAACAAAAAAATGAATATGTTCCTTTAGTATTTCTGCAAAGTGGTAAGTTTCTTTGTCAACACAAAAACAGCGTTGCCACACCTCAACTTTATGGAAGTGATTAAACAAAGAAAAACGCCTATTACGGTAAAAACAATATGGCTGCACCATTTTTAAGTGAATTCGCCGGTTTAGTGTTGCATTAACTACTTCGCTTATTACTAAATCAGTATCACAGCAACTGTCGCCGCGGACGCACGAATAACGGGAAACGAATAAACTGCGCAAAATTTATAACGAAAACAAACAAATTGTATTTGAAAAAACAATAAATATTTTAAAAAATTGTTATTAAACTTAACATATAAATTAAAACTATAAAATTATTTAAAAAATTGCTTTAAAATATTAAGTTAAAACCACAAAAAATCTGCTCAAAGAGTGGGTGTAATTGAAGAAAAAAAACAAGCTGTTTTTACGGCAAATTTAAGTGAAAAAAGTGAGTAAATAACAAAAAAAGAACAAAAACAATAAAGTGATGGTAAATTTTGTGAAAAATCTTTGTTTGTATAGGTGTATCTCTGAGTAATGATGGTGTTTTTTTCTTGTGGGGTTCATTTGAGCGTTTGTTAGTAGTAGAATTGGTATTATTGTAATGTTTTCATTTAGAGTCTACAACAACAACTAAAATATACCTTTTAGTGTATAGAATATAAAAAACAAGAAGAAGCAGACAATAAAGGAATCAAACACAAAAGAAAACATGAATTTAAAAGTCGGATAAAATCAAAGAAATTACAAAGCAAGCAAGCTTAATTAAAATAATAATAAAAAACTATTAAACATTAAAAATTTCACAACCGGATGATGATTCTTATTTAATCAAGCCGACAGGATTTGAAAAAATATATAAAACTTTCAACTTTAATTGTTTAATTGCATGGGAAAGTTTAGAGGGGAGTTTGGTTTGGCAAAAAAAAAGTGTTGCCAATTTTAAGTAGAATTTAAAATTACACTAAGATTTAAGATTTAAAAATCTTGTTTCTTTTGAAGCATAATTTGGATTTTTTTTCGCAAATATGCCCAAATCAAAATTTTTGTCTTTTATTTTTAAATTTGTAATTTGATTACCGTATTTGGTTTTTGCTGCTTTAATTATTACCAACACAGGTCATCATACTTATTTTTTTATTTATGGTTTTGTTAACCAAAAGTTTCATATTACACAGTTTTTTATACACTTAGCTTAAAACAAATAAAGGTGTAAATAATTTATTTTTAATTTTTTTTTTTCGTTTGTTTAAGCTCACCTATCAAATTTCATATAATTTATGTTTTTTTTTTACCAGAATTGCAGTTTGCATTGAGTAATCGTCTCTTTCTAAATATAACCCTGTCCATAAATTGTTTTTTATATTTTTTGTTGTCATTGCTATTTCTGTATTTGTTGTTGTCATTCTTATTACACCATAATAACAAACACTCATTATAAAAAACTAGTTTGAAATTCAATTTATTGATATTAAAATATTTTTTTTTTTTTTTTGAAATGAACAATGGAGGTTTTTATTTTACTTCAAGATTGTTGAATTAATATTATTGGTTATGGGTAAAAAGTTAATTCGCAAAGTAATTAATTTGTAAAAGATTTCATAATTTAAAAATTCTTTAGAACGCAAGGACTTAAATTCCTATATGAGATGATTTTTTTCTTTGTTTAATAATTATAATGTAAATTTATATTTAAAACCGCATTATTAAATTTAATTGCCTATGTAAAAATACAAAACCAAACCCTTTATAGAGAATATTTAAACCACAGGTCTCAGCCTAATGAACTCAAACTAGCCTAGCAGAACGTGAATAGTTTTTCGTACTGAAGTATCAGATCATTTCCTAATTTATGCTTATTTTAAGTTTGAAAACTGTATTAACAGATTAAAAAGGGACTATGTTCCTTTGAACTTCCAACAAATTTCAGAAAGAGTCTTAATTTTTTGAAATATTTGTAAGACCGATAAGAGAGATTACGTTTTGAATTTATAACGAATTAGAATCAGAGCCTTCAATTTTAAAGATACTTGAAGATACAGATATTATTTGGCTTTTTGTTTGATTGAGATGGCCATAAAGCACTGTGACCTGTGTTAAGGTCCTTTGTGTTCTCGTATGAATCTTAATGTCAGTGAGAGATTGAATATTTCATTAAGCGATAAAAATGCGCCTCCCAGAATACTCCCTCTAAAAGGCCATAGTAGATGACAGTCACAAAATACATGTTCGGAGGTTTCATCCTGCAGTTGATAAAATCTACATAACCTCGTCACATTGTTACCAAGAATGGCATCTAAGTCCACAGTGTCTGGTATAAAATCCCGTTAGTAATCTTAGGTCACTCTTGCTAAGCGACAATATCTTTTGGAATTTACCCTTTGTTAGCGTTTTGCCTGTCTGAGTCCTGATATTGACCAGTGGCGGAGAAATTTGGATTTAACATAAGTATCGCATTTTTCCCTAATGTATCCTTTGAATATAGCAAAAAATGGTTGCGGCCCAATAAAAGGGCCCCATGCGTCCCTATTTGCCAGACAATCTGCTCTTTTATTGTCAGACCATCAGGTCTGACTATACTACTATACTACAACTCTCCAGAGATCCGGAACGATATCTGAATTGTTCACATTGGTTATATGATCTCATTACTCTTATGATTAAATGTCTCATACTCTTATGATTAAATGTTATATTAATACTCAGAAACTTATTAGAGAGACGACGTGACGCCGTACTACCGACAAGAACTGTAATGATCTCTCATATATTTACTTCTTCGCACCTGTCAGATCTTCAATATATGAATTTGACAAACTGCCCCTTAATGCGAATGGAAAGTGGGACCTTTAATTGTAAAAACCGGAGACTGGACAGCAGTTCTACAGAGATACAGAAATAAAGTCTTTATTATATATGTATACGATCTCATACTTGGAAGATCATAAATCTCCTAATTTATATCAATTGGCCTATGAATTAAACACATTATTATTGCAAAGTCAATTTTAAAATATCTAGATTAAATTAAGGCAAGATTCAATCAATATAACAAATCATAATTTGGTATCAAACTTTGTTTAAACTTAATTAACTTACATTACAAAACCACTAAATTACTCTTTCTTTTATTTTACAGTAATTACTAAACTTTTAAAAACTTGGCAATCCTGAAATACTACAAATTCGCCTTGAACACACACACAAACATTTGTATCCTTCGTTTAACGGGATAACAAGTAATTGCTACTAAACTCAACAGCCAGAAGAGAGATACAACACAATGATTGTCAAAAAAGTATGGTGAATTACACAATGTCTTATCATTTGCTGGCTCGCTCTTTTTGCACTCTCTCTCGCTCTCGTTCTTGCTCTCAACAACCATCACTGCAATGTCGTCTATTACAGTTTGAGTGAAATGTAAGCAAAACGCACGTATACGCGAAGGAAAGAACATCGTGCACGGTTAAACGCGAGTGTAGTTTTGGAAGGAAAATAAAAAAAGGAAACACAAATTCAAATAAAAAATATTGCAAAAGAAAATATTAATCAAAAGTGGAAAAATAATAGAATAAAAAAAATCGATAAAATGCAATTAAATTATCATACAATATATAAAGTAAATAATATTTATATATAAATTAAATGATTGAAAATTACAAATAGAAAAAATATTAAACGAAATAGTGCGTGTAAAAGAGTTTTGTGTGTCTGTGTGTGAATTTTTTTAAATAGTTGTAAATGTGTGTATGTAGATAATGGTATGTATGCCTGTATGACGGTCGGTCGGTTGTTTGCTCGAGCTACGAGCTTAACAATAATGTATGTTGGTTGTATAAGTACATATTTTTGGGTGTGAAAACGAAAGTGAAAATCTAGCACAGCAGCTACGAGGACCAAAAACAACGAGGACGAAAAAGTAAAGAAGACAAACAGGCAGGCAACTACTGCTGTTAGTTAGGCAGGCAGGGTGAAGGGAATACTTACTAATAGTATTTAAACGTTATAGTTATACCCTGAACTGATCTTTTTTTGTGTAGCATTCTTCATACCCATAACAAAATCTTCAACATCATCATCATCACCAACATCATTTTGTTTTTCATCATCATCCTCCTTCATCATCATCATCAAAAATCTCATACTCATCTCTAGGGTGGATTAAATGTTACATAAAAACAAGGTGTAAATAAAGTGTATAAGACTGAGTGTGTCGTCTCTATGTGTAGTAATAACAACAACAAGAACAGCAACATTTAAAAGAAATTAAAACAAATACAACAACAAAAAGTGCATTTTTTTGTAACGAAAACAAAAGTGAAATATTAAACAAATAAAAAATAATTATATACTACAACAAAAGCTGTAAAGTAAAACGCAAATAATTTTATAAAAATAAAACAAAAACATTTTGTCAGTCAATTAATATTTAATAAACACAAAAAAGTGTGTATACAACAACAACAAATTAAAGATAAAATAAAACTGAGAGATACAAAGACACACATGAAAAGGGAAAATAGAAGAGAATATAAAAAAAATATATAAAAATAAAATCAATTCTTAAAGGACATGACTGACTGGCTGGCAGGCTGGTAGCCTGGCTTTGTATGAGTGTATGTTAAGCTCTTTAGAAGTTCATGTGTATGTATGTGTATGCATGTGTATGTGACGTCAAAAGTCGTAATCATTGTTGTTATACATAGAGGAGATATTATTAAAGTTTTATATTGTTGATGTTGAGATTGTCTTTGCTGCTGCTGCTGTTTCTTCAAATGTTTCTTCACACCACCAACAACGACGCCAACAGCAGCAACACCACCACCTCCTACAACGTTGTGGCGTTTGTCAAACGCTCCCACATAATCTAAGCTTCTTCTATATTTACAGTTACAACTCTCCCTATAAACAACATAAAAAGAGTTTCGAAACAAATAAAAGATAAACGAGCGAAAAAAAGGAATAAAAAAGGAAAATGACAAGAACATAAAACTAAAGAAAACTTAAAACAAAAATAAAACAAGTGAGAGCAAGTGTGCGTGTATTAGAGTTTTTTTTCTGGTGAGTGAGTTTTATTTTAAATAGAAATACAAAAACTCACACACATACAACAACAACTACAAGTACTTTAGCCAAGTACTTCTTGAAACAGCAACCAACCAACCCCCCCCCCAAACAGGAATCATACTTAACCTCTTTGTTCACCTTGTTCCAAGCCAAATAGCAACAACAACAACATCAACTAGACACAAAAATTAAAAAAAGCTAAAAAGTAAAAGAAACACACAAAAAAAGTGTAATAATAAAAAAATAATAAAAATAATAGCGTAAAAAATATAAAAGAAAATATCATAATGGAGCAGCCCAGCATACTTGTTAGAATTTTACACTCGATACCGCATGTGAACTACACATTTCAACGGGTTAATGACACCTTCAATCCGGACAGCGATGTTTATCTAGAGGTGAGTGAATTGTTGTCATTTTTGTTTTTGCCTTAAATTAGGACAACTAATTAAGTTTATGTTTTTTTCTCGATATGATTGTGTCACTTGGCTCCTTTAGAGTTGTTTGTTTAAAATTAAAGCTGTTTAAGCAAAAAAAACTTTTTATCTGTTTATTTTTTTGCTGAAAAAACTGCATAGTGTCTGTTGTTTTTTGTCTGAGATTTTTTCTTGTCTCTTGTTTTTGCCATCTTTTTTTTCTTTCTGAAATTTAAAGCAATTGTCTACAATGTTGTTACTAGGGTGATCGATTATTCGACATTTTCCAAAAACCGGTTTTCGAATAGTTCGAATAGTTGACATTTCAAAAAAACCGGTTGATATTTTTCAAATTCAGAAAAAACCGGTTAACCGGTTTTTCATAATAAATAAAAAAATATATGTTAATTTGAAGAAATTAATGTTTATGATTAAATTTGATTAATAAAACATGGCCCGAAATGATTTTTAACAGTTTAACAGATTATAACTTTAGATCTAGTCGTCTGATTTACATTATTTCTTTAATATAAAAAAAAATTAGGAAAAAAAGTGGACACTTCTGTTAAACATAAGGTACTATGTAATCCTAGCTTATTCTAAAGCCCTTTTAGGAAATTTTCATAGGCATTCCAACACTTCCATAATATTTCAGCGGTAAATTAATTATTGTAATTGGAATATAATCTTAAGATTAATAAAATTTTATTAAACAGTTATCAATTTTACAAATAAATTTTTTTAATTAATTAGGAAAATCAAAAAAGTTTAACCAATGGTGCTTTAGAAAAATATATCCTAGTTCCTGGACTCGAATATTTTTAAACGGGCTGTATTATTTACTTCAAAATTTCATTTAAATAATCTTTGAATACAAAGCAAATAAAAGTATTCGAAACCGGTTTTTAAAAAGTGAAAAAACCGGGTTATTCGATATTCGAAAAATCAACATTTAGAAAAAACCGACACTGGTAAAGCAGAAAAAACCGGTTTTAAAACCGGTTGAAAAATCGAGTCGATCACCCTAGTTGTTACGTTTTTCTTTTGCTGTTGTGATAAGAATTTTCAAAGTTTTGCACAAAAGTAGAAGAAAATAAAGTTTTATGTATCAACATTCAAGTGTTTGCATTCACATGCCCACATCTTTTCTTTCTAACTTAACTAAACTGCTACAGCAAAATTTTTTTAACGAAATCGATAACCCAGCGAAGAATTGAATTAATAAAATAATTTTCAAATTTCTATGACAAAATTTAAAATTGTTCATTGTTGTATTTGTTGATCTTTGCCATAATCCTAAGATTTGCATATTCGACAATTCGGATATATCGCCGAATTCGGGTCTCTGCCAAGGCAGGACAATTACAGAGAAGCATTTTTACAACTCCTACTGATATCATAGAACGGAAGACCAATGCGTCTAGCATGGTTTAAAATTTACAGATACCAGTAACAATCGATACCTGCTTACCTACTTGTGGTCTTTGGAGTCCAAGGAGATGTTTAGACCTGCATGGAAATATATGTGGCCAAAGCGCTCTAGCTAATGAGCACGTGTGTTCACGCAACCATCGGTTACGAGCAATAGAGGAGCAGTTTTCAATAATGTCCTACAGAAATCATAGATCGGAAGATCAATACGTCTAGAATGGTTTACACTCCCCAATGACAATCGATACCTGCTTACCTAGTTGTGGTCTTTGGAGTCCAAGGAGATGTTTAGACCTGCATGGAAATATATGTGGCCAAAGCCCTCTACCTAATGAGCACGTGTGTTCACGCAACCATCGGTCATGAGCAATAGAGGAGCTGTTTTCAATAATTTGCCTCTTTATTACAAGAAGTGGAAAACCGCAGAACTGATCTATACCCAGTCCGCTAAGAGTGGTGCCAGCTATTGCAAAGGTGTCAGCAATATTTTTGTCATACGAACTCCCGTATCCCTTGACCCAAATTAGGGTCAATGTCTCGAATGTCTCTCGTTGAGAGACGTCCGGCATTCTAGATGTGGAAAACACACCAATTAGAGATTTAATAGCAGCTTGACTATCGGTATAAATTATGATATCCCTGTTAGATCCGATCGCTGTTATTTCACCTTGAAGGATTCTGTAGTCATCATTGAGTCAGATAGGACAAGATCAATAATCAGTTGCGAAACAATTTCGTTCACTGATCGACGTGTTAATCACTTAATAAATTATGACAGGGAGTGTATGCATTTCGACTTTCGCTATTCGAGTCATGAAATATGCAAAACTGTCTCGAGATTTAGTTCTCAGCTGATCCTTGTGATTAAATCAATTTCAGCCTGAGTAACAGTGCAGCCATTAGACAATCTAATGGAAATCAAGAGAAACAATCTGTAACAATTTCGAAGCCGTAATTGTGGACTGAGATCCCTGTTCCGCAAGGCCTTGTTTTAATCCTAGTTTTTTCTCTTTGCTTTGCTGTTGTGAATGAATAATTTTGAAGAAAATTTTCCCATTTGATTTTGATAAATTAAACAATTTTTTGGTTTAAACTAATTTCTTAAAATATTCTTATCTGGTTAACATAAACAATAATGACCCGTTATTCAACTAAAAAAATAAATATTACTCTAACAGTTTTTGTTGACAATTTGATAAAACTTTTCCAAGTATGTAGAAAAGAAGATACAATAACTTTTGCAACAAATAACAAACAAATAGTTTTAAAAAAATATTTTCTAAATAAAAACTCATGTTTACATTTCACAAAAAACGAGTTGATAAAATTAAAAGAAGAAGAAATTAGATTTTAAAGTAAATATTTTATATAAGTGTTAAAAATTTAGCCTTGAATTTTTAACATAAGAGAAAATGTTTATTAATAATGCATACAGTTTTTAGAAATTAAACAGAGGTATATGTATTTGTTTTGACATTTACATTGCTGAGTTTAGGTTAAATATTTTCTTAAGCTATAACAACACTCAGTACCTGCTGTGATGATTTATGATTTATGCAGTATTTCAAAATTTAAGACGTTTACGCTTCAATGTGACAAATTCATTTGCATTTGTTTTTTTTTTCAGTTTTATTTTTATCTTTACACACTAAGACAGTAGTATAGTGGTTACATCCTATATATACATAGTAGTTGTAGTAGTATAAAACAGCTATAATGTAACAGTTATTATTCCTTATACAAAGCCACTGGATACAATTTTTCCGTCTCTAACAAACTAGTGACAAGTACAAACATATACATATGTAGGTACATATATCTTTTGCTGACTTTCTCTGTTTCAAGTGCCCCTCAGTGACTTCCTTTTGCCTATTTAGACATGTCCTCGCCGGCATAAAGGCAACAACAATAATAACTACAGTTGCAAATGTGTGTGTGTGTTTGGATAGTTGTATGCGTTGAAATGTACTATATCAGTATGACAATTGTTTGTCATTTTAAAAACAAGTCCTTGAATTGTGTTATAAATCACACCTCAATCATAAGTGTTACAACAAAAAACACTCAAGAAAAATGCAAATAATGTCATAACAGGTATCTTTACACACATAATTGTAGCAATATTTTTTTCTAGGTTAACATGTACTTTGTCACATTATCCTTAAATTACAAAAATGTAGCAAAATTTCTATTCTATTTAGATTTATAGCAAAACCTTTTTAGTTCAATTAAACTTAATAAAAGTTATTGTTATTAAACAATGTTTCTAAAAGAATTTTTTCTTTATTATTTGAGTCTGCAATTTCTTCAATTACTTAGGTCGTTAGTCATTTGTGGCATTCTTCTTTTTTTTTGTTATGCGCTCTTCAAGCACTCAATTAGCAACACCACACCATACCACGCCTATACTTACTCTTATGCCATATTTAAGTGCAGGCCTAGGTTTGCATTGCTGTTGTATTATGACGTAAAAGCCCATAAATGTAGCCGAAGTAGCGAAGTTTATTTTAATTCAGCAGCATTTAAGTGCAACAAACGAACAACAACAAAGCAAGTAAAAGCAAAATCATACATTTTTGTGTTTAACGAAAACGTCAGAGACATCCTTGCCATTGATTGTCCTAGTTTTTGCACTAAATTGCACGTCATTGGTTTGAATACTAAAAATAACAAAACTAACAACAACACCAGCAAAAACTCACAACAAAAATATATTTCAACATTTCCATTATTGCCGTTTTTAATAGTGTTTTTTTGTTATTGTTAATATTGTTGTAGTTGTTTTTATTATGTATGCTGGTAATCCTGCAAAAAAACCAAACTGAATGAACCTTGTTGTGTTTTTTTTTCGTTTTTCAACTCGTTTTCATTTCAAACCACTCACTCTCCCTCTCACTACGGCTTTAACTGTAACATCAACAAATTACTTAAATGTAGAAAACGTCATCAGTAGTTGTAGCTGTAATAGTAGTATGTAGTTGTACGAGTAGTTTTTAGAAGGATAAATTGAGAATCAAAAGAAAACAAGGAATAACAAAAAAAAAGTAGTACACATGTACATAAAACTGAAATATATACTCTACATTAAAATTTTTGTTGTTGACCAAACTGATGAGTGTTCACACAACAACAACAGCAACATCTACTGACAACAACAATATAAAATTGATGATAACTTTTCCATGATGATGATGATGATGACGAGGATAGTGATGTGTAATGAATACATATACAAATAGGAATTTACATATGCCGACAGTTCGTGGTGTCATTATGTACCTTTAGGGATACTTATTTGAGTAATTCATTTACTCTCTGCCAATACTTGTCATTTAAATTAAAGATTTGGTTTAAATATTAACTAAAAGGATACATTGACTCCTTAAAATACCGCAGGGTCTTAAAATTGTGAGTACGTCCATGTGTGTGTGTGTTAAAATGTTTTAGTAAGCCAAGGCTTTTAAAGTTATGTAGTCAATATTCAATAAACTACTTTTGATCTGTTAAAAATGACATACTGCTGCACCAAAAAGTTTACTTTCCACAGTGGT